GTTAATGGATGGTGTACACACACAAAAAACCAGCATCATTCCAAGATAACAGATCTGTCTGTCTTCTGTGGGTTCCATGATAAAATGGGAGAAAATAAATAGCACATGAGATTCTTTCTCTCTTTTTTAAAATAGTTTTTATTGAACGTTTTAATCTTTAAAAACAGAAAGAAAAACACAACAAGAAACAACAAAACACAAAACATATATAACAATATAAAGTAATTATACAGCCTTCTGTATCGGCTTTCATGTTTAGCCTTTATAGTTCTCCATTCTGCATTGTCTTCCTATTGCTTTTACCTTGTCCTATAATATAACAACAGTGGTACAGTAGAGAATGTAAATATATGGTGATATAAATAATTAATGTTATTATAAGTGTTAACACACTGTTGTTATATTATAGGACAAGGTTAAAGTAATAGGAAGGCAATGTAGAATGGAGAATTATAAAGGCTAAACAGGAAAGCCGATACAGAAGGCTGTATAATTACTTTATATTGTTATGTATGTTTTGTGTTTTGTTTTTTCTTGTGGTGTTTTTCTTTCTGTTTTTAAAGATTAAAACATTCGATAAAAATTATTTTTTTTAAAAAGGAAAATATACCATACCTCTACAAGCCTGCAATATTTCTGATAAGATAGATAAACAACATTCATCTGGAGGACTGTGGTGATACTCACTGTTTTATAAGTATCTACTTTATGATTACTGGACTCTATGGAGAGAATAAGTAAGACCTTTAAGTAAAGTGACTTTTGATTTTTGGAAAGCTGCCTGGACCACTTAAATGGAACATATTAATAATCCTGAGATGTAAAAAACTATGATTATTGAACTTTTTGAGGAGCAACATTGGACCTGAATATATTGTTTCTGGACTATTGAGTAAGAGCGGGACTTACCAAAATAAGACAAGATGATCCATCAGGGGGAAATGAGTGAGATTTCAAAAGAAATGGCGTTGATGTTTCAAAGCATTAGGGATACTATGACAAAGAATCATAGCAAGATGAAGAACCTAGTGCAAGGTATAAATGGGAAAATAGAAAATATCCTACAACTGATAATGAATGAAGATCAAAGAGTCCAGGAAAGAGATGAGACAACAGAAAGAATGGAGGAAAAGAGAACAGACAAGTCATCAAATAAAGCAAGGAGATGAGAAGCAGAAGACGATAAAGATAATAATGACTGATGAAATAAACTAAGGGAAAAGCCGTATTTTTTGGAGTATAAGATGCACTTCTCCCCCTAAAAGTGGGTGACAGTGTTTGTGTGCCTTGTACACTGAATGTTGCCGAAGCCCCGCCCCCTTCAGCCATTTTTGGCCTCCGCACATCATGTTTTCGGCATCTGCATGCTCCATTTTGGACCCATTCCAGGCTGCAGGGATCGCCACAGCACACCACCGCCGATTGCTGCCTCTGCGCATAGCGTTTTCAGCCTACACACATCACATTTTTGGCCTCCATACACCCAGGCCGAAAGCGGGGTGTGCGGAGGCCAAAAGCACAAGCGGAGGTGCCAATCGGCAGCAATGTGCTGTGGCGATCCCGGCAGCTGAGAATGGGTCTAAAATGGAGCATTTGGAGGCCAAAAACGCAAAGTGCAGAGGCCAAAAACGCAACACGCAGAGACAGTGTTGGGCTGTGGCAATCCCTGCAGTCTAGAACAGGCGATCCAACCACCAATCAGCTGCTTATGCTGAATCAGGCTTCGATAACGTGCTGAAGCTGACCAGGTTGTTTGCTGCAAGAACAGTAGCCATATGAATACCGATGGATGCTGGTAGGCAGAGGCAGAATTTTTTTCTTGTTTTCCTCCTCAAAAACTAATGCGCATCTTATACTCCGGAGTGTCTTATACTCCAAAAATTACGGTATTTTAAGAGATTTAAAAATGGAATTGGATAAGCGGGAAGATACTTTTGAAAGGGAGATAGGGGCTTGGGTGGACACTCTGGACACCTGGTAGCTTAGGGGGATACAGATGGGAGAAATATTCAGACTGAAGATCTAAGAGAGACAAGCTAAAAAATGAATAAGAATTGAAGTATTAAAATGGGCAAGAGATGATGGATAGAAAGGAAATATTTTTTTCTTTTTTTCTAATATAATGATGGCCTGATTAAAAACTAGAATAGAGGTAGAAATAAGAATACACACTTTTATATAAAGCAATAGTTAGCTGGAAAGATTGGAGGTTGAAAGATGGTATTATTATGTATGTATAAATAATAAGATGATTGGTAATAGAATGGTGTATTGAAACATTGAACAACCAAATAATGAAGGATTATGTCTTAATATAAACATGTGTATTAACACTAGGATTAGTAATGGTGGCCTTACTAGAAGCTATAATAGAGGTAGAAATAAGAAATAGGGGGAATATTAGCATGCATAATTTTTATATAATAGAATATAGGCAATAACTAGATGGAAAGATTAAAGGCTGAAAGATGGCATTACTATGTATACTTAAATAATATCATTGGCATTAAAATGGAACACTAAAATATTGAATGACTACTTTAAAACAAACATGTATTTTAATACTAGGATTATATAAATTTGATTAATGTAACAAATATTATTAATATTATTGCTACTTGTATCAAAAGGAATTATAACCAGAGGCCACACTGTTCATGTATTGATATTGATGTATATTTAAAAATAAAAATCCAATAAAACTTTTTTAAAAAGTTTGCAAAAACAGCACAGCTTTAGCCACTTTGGAAAGCTGTGCTTTCATTGCAAGCCTTCCCCACCCCCAATGTACGAAGTGGCTAAAGCTGTGCTATCTCCACAAACCTTTCTGAAAACAGTGCAGTTTTACCATGTGTAGGAAATATTTGCCAGAGAAGCTGGGTCCAAAAAGGAACAGCAAGGGGCAGAGAGTCCCTGGGTGCAAAAGGCAAAACATTGGTGCAGGGAACATGGAGAGAAGGCAGTTGGGTCAATGAATGCTTGCTGGCTTGTTTGCTGGGGTGGGCCATATGGAGCTGGGGAAGAGAAGGAAGCTGGCCAAATGAATGTTTGCTGAGGCTTCCTGGGATAAAGGAAGCAGCGCAGAAACATGGTTCTGGGGCTGCTTGCTGTCTCACAATGCAGGGTGATCAAAAGGACAGATATGAGGGGGAGGATATAGGTGAGTGGGGAAAGCTGAAGTACCCTTATGGTTGTTAAGCGCAGGTGGGCTGCAAAGCACCTGAATTTTGATAATGTGACTAAAGGGGTGCTACAACAGCTGTAACTTCAGGCACAGGTCGTAACTCCATTTTTTCAGCACTGCCGTGTTTTCAAACAGTTGCTAAATGAATGGTCTTAAAGACTACTTGTATATAATTTTTATTGTCGTTACTATCATAGCACAGTAGTACAAAGAAAAATTTAATATTAAACACAAGAAAAAGCTTTATTTTCTTTTAAAGTTGAGGTTTGATGTTAATGCCTTATTCTACTGCACAAAGGGAGTCGGGAGTCAATGCCTCCCCACCCCCCCGCTTTCCCCCACTATTCTCTTCCCTAACTTCCCTATTTACTTTTGATTTTTCTTTGTATGCTATATTATAAACTAATAAAATTGGTTTTTTTTAGAAAAAGCTTTATTTTCTTTTGTTGATATGTAATGTATAGTTATCAAATTAATCACCAAAACTATTTCAGTGCCCATATTAAATAACACAATGTTAAAAGGGGGGACATTAAAACTTAACCTATTTATGAAATATGGTCAACTGAAGAAAACACTTGAAAAAGAACATGCACAGGAGGAATATTGCATTAAAATAGACATACTTCCACTAGCAAATCCACTAGTAGCAGTCGCTTGCATCACCTCTCTTCTGTAATCTCTATCTTTTGGAAAACTGTTGACAGACATTTTGTTTGCTTCTTTTTGTCTCTGCTCTCTGGTGTAAAAATAAATAAATTATAAAATAGAACAATTTGGTAAGTTTACTATTCTACAATTTACATCTATAGTAATGATTTACCTTTCAAGCCATTCTTTCGGTTTTTCCCACTGTGAAACTTCTGTTCGGCAGTTGTAGTAATATTTTTTGCCAGAAGAACTAATGTGCTCAGACCAGTCATCTGCAGAATCATAAGACTTAAAAAAAAATTGCAATCAACCTGATGGATTTCAGAAATATCATCTTAGTTTTGAACATTAGCATACATTTCATTAAAAAATATTCCTTTTAGAAAAATCAATAAAATGCAAAGCATTTTATACTATAATTTTTAACAGGCTCCAGCTCAACCCAAGTAAGGCTGAGTGGCTTTGGGTGTTTGGGCCTTCTGTTGTGAGTAATCTTATCGTTGGTCTTGGATGAAGTGGTACTACCTCAGACAGATCCGGTATGTGATCTGGGGGTCCTCCTGGACTCACAGCTCTTGCTCAAGGAACCAGTAGAAGCTGTGGCTAGGAGGGCCTTTGCACAACTGCAGGTTGTATGCCAGCTGTGCTCATTCCTGGGCAGGGGCCCCCTACTCACTGTCACTCATGCCCTTGTGAACTCTCATGTAGACCAGCGCCCCACAACCTTTTGGGCATCAGGGACCAGTTTTGTGGAGAGAGGTTTTTCCATGGACCAGAGGGGGTGTGGTTTCGCATACTGCCTGCATCCCATGGATGAGACTTTGCTTGTTTGTACGGCCTGATTTCCAAAAGTATTTGGAAACTTCAACAGGTGTAGAATGTGGCAGCATGGGTAGTAAATGGTGCCAGTTATTTGGCACATGTAACACCACTACTCTGTCAGCTGCACTGATTGCCAGTGTGCTTCTGGGTGCAATTCAAAGTGCTGGTCATCACCTTTAAAGACCTGCATGGCGTAGGACTGGGTTACTTGAGGGACTGTCACAAAAGGTGATCACATAACTCCAGGACACTGCAACCATCATAAATACATGCCAGTTGCCAAGAATCTGAAATTTGATCATGTGATCGTGGGGATGCTGCAATGGTCAAAAGTGTGAAAAATGGTCATAAGTCACTTTTTTGAGTGCTGTTGTAACTTTGATTGCTCACTGAACAAAAGGTTGTAAGTCAAGAACTACCTGTAAGTACTTTATGAGTAAGATTACCTTATTATTATCTGGAAAAACCCTACACCAAAGTCATGAGATTTCAATTCAAGGTGTTAATCACTTATTTCAGTGCTGTTGTGAATGGCTGTAAGTCAGGGACTACTTCTATTTGATTGTATTTTTTTCAGATGGGCAGCCATATAAAGTGGATAGATAAACAATTAGATAACTAAACTATCTTAGAAACTGCAGAACAACAAAATGTAACAGCTTTCAAATAGTAAATGCAGAATTTAATTTCACTTGACAAAATTAAACTGGGAGACATGCTATCCAATCTGCTATTTTAAAACTTTACATAATATGAGAGAGACAGGGCTGATGTCGCAGCGATATGATACATCTCCACGGAGCTCGATGGAATCGCCCCCAATTCGACTTGCCAGGAGGTTCTGAGGGACCCAAATCACCCTGGAGGGATGATGAAGACAAAGAGGACACCCCGCTGATCACAAGACCACCGCATACTCGTTTGACGCAGAGGAGCTCTCAATTCAGCAGGAAGAACTTTACATAATATGATTCGCCGGAAGCGTGCGACAGGAACAGTTGGGAAATAGCGGAGCTCTGACAGGAACCTTCGGGTCAGAACAGGTGAAAAAGAAGAAACATCTTGTAGACCAAAGAGGAACTGGCAGTTCCTCGAAAGGTCCGAGATAAAGTTCTTCAAACTGACAGCAGAAGCGGCAGCGGCTTTAATGGCCGCTTTAAAGTCGGGGCAACCAGACCAAGCTATTTGAGCAGGAGAGGTGCTAGAACAAAGCTTTGGACCTGGGTGAAAGAGTGATCAACCCAAGGTAAAAAAAAAACCTTTAAATTTGGATAAAAAAGAGACCAGGAGTGGAATTTAGCGACTATTTGTCAGGCGGGTGATTTAACAGAGAGGAAAGGGCAGAGACAAAAACGGAAAGCCCTAGAAGACTTTTATCTCCAAAGTTTGGACTTGGAAACATCAAAAATAATAAAAGAACTCTGGGGGAAATTTCCTTTCTTTCTTTTGCTACCTTTTTCTATTTTTTATGGAATATATATGGATTTTGACAGCTTTTGACAGCTAGAACACATTGCCTACAGCGGGGAGGGAGACATCTAGTGGTGAGAAGATGATACTACAAGATCTAATAGAAATTGACAGGGTACACCTGGAACTTGACCTTGACTGAAGCAAATATACTTTGAAGCTGTGAGAAAAAACAAGGAGGATTTGTTTTTGCAACAGTGTGGATTGGATTTACTGTTTTGGTGGAAGACAAAAAGTAAATAAAAAGTGGAATTGGACTTTAGAAATTGGAAATAAGAAAAGGAAAAAAAGAACTTTAAGCTTAAGTAAAAGTGATATAATAGAAAAAGTTTAAATAATTTGTTAAATTAATTAAACAGACAATATGGAATTTTGGATGTGTAATGAAATACTTGATATGTTAAGAAATGCATGTGAAACCCTAAATGGGAAAAAAACCAGTGGAAACTCAGAGGGAACACTTAGAACAAGGAGAAGGAGAAAAGGAGAAAGAAAAGGGACTGAATGAAGAACAGGAAGATATCATAGAAGAAAAAAAGATTGAAAAATACTTAGATGATTATACTGGGATTTACAGTTACATACCCAAAGGAGACAAGGGGGAAGTGGCCCCGCAAAAGGGAAAATTAAATAGCAAAGGTGGGATTAATGGGGGAAGATGGGGGAAAAAACTGGGGAGAGGTACAAAAACAATAGAATTAAAAAGGAGAAAAAAGTTTGGAAAGAAAAAAATATAGGAATTTCAAGATCAAGAAAAAGAAAACACTAGGCCAATGGGTGGAGAGAAGAGAATATAAGAGAAATGAAGCTCCTGAGAGACTAAGAGAAAATGGTTGAAAGGAGGAAAGAAACAAAAGGATTTACCATTAGAATAGAATGAAATCTAGTAAATATAGCCAATGGTATATATTCAATACAATGTGGGGGAAATAGATTAAAATTATAACTTGTGGATAACTAACTAAATGAAATGCTTACTACATAAAATTAAACATGAGGATATATGTTATTAACAGTAAAACAGAATAATAGATGGAAATGATACGTTAAATTTGATTAATTTGGGGAGGCAAATAATATTGTTTATATATTAAGAAGAAATTAAAATTAAGCGGGAGCATATGGAATAAAAATAAGATGACTGAAATGTAAAATGGAAATATGATGTAAAATGTACTATGCATAATAGAAGATGTAAAGGGGGGAAAACAAGGACAACACTTTATTTATAAAAGAAGTTAAAATATGTAACAAAAAATAAAAAACTTTGTTTGAAAAAAAACCTTTACATAATATGAGAGAGGCAGGGCTGATGTCGCGGCGATATGATGCATATCCACAGGGCTCAATGGAATCGCTCCAAATTTGACTTGCCAGGAGGTTCTGAGGGACCCAAATCACCCTGGAGGGGTGATGAAGACAGAGAGGACACTCCGCTGATCACAAGGAGACCGCATACTCCTTGTTTGACACAGAGGAGGAAAAGGAAGAAAAAGACGGTCATTGAGTGCCTGACCGGAGCTGTGACAGCTGACCGATGCAGCAAGTATAGAAGTTGAGGAACAGTAGAACCAATCTGGGTGAGATTTTTCTAACTCCTGCTGTAGAATTTACCCCCTAAAAAAAGGATATCTGGGAGAAAGTGGGACTCAAAGAAGAGGAGGTGGAATTGTTTGTTTTCCACCCCCAAGAATAGTGTTGAGAAAACTTGTGAGCTATTTATAGAACTGGAAGAAGAGGAAATATTTTTTTTTTTAAAAAGGGAGAAGAAACTGGAAAGCTAGAGAAGTTGGATTGGGGATCTAAAATACAAAATGGACTAAGTTGAAACTTTTTGGAATATGAAATTTGTACCCCTGGGACAAATTCCTGAACTTCTGGTTTGCGCGTTGGGTGGTTTTTCACCCTCCAGAGGCTTCGGATTGCGAAAAACAGCCGAAAAAGAAGGCCGAAGTTAGTTGGCCAGCATGCGCATGCACACTGGAGCTGACACGGCAACGCCTCGCATGCCCTAACAAATGGCTCCGTGTGCCACCTGTGGCACACGTGCCATAGGTTCGCCATCACGGCTCTAGACCCATTAACGTTGGAAGACTATAATGAAATATTGATTGATGCAAAGGTACCAAATTCGTGGATGGAAGCAAATATTACTTTGATTCCGAAAGAAGACTCAGATTTAATGCAGATAAAAAACTACAGGCCCATATCTTTACTGAATGCTGGCTACAAAATATATGCTTCAATAATGGCAGAGAGACTAAAAAGGTTTCTAAATGAATTTATACATTCAGGCCAAAATGGCTTCTTGCCTAAGAGACAGATTAAAAGCAATATAATGATTTTAAATATGTTGGAATATTTTGAAGCACATCCTGGAAAACAAATGGCGTTGAACTTCTTAGATGAGTAGAAAGCATTTGATAACATAAACTGGCAATTTATGTTGTTACAACTAAAATCTATGGACTTTGGTGAGAGATTCATTAACAGGATAAAGGCAATATACCATAAACAAACTGCAAAGATGATGGTAAATGGAGATACCACAGAGAATTTTAATATAAAAAAAGGCACAAGACAAGGCTGTCCACTATCTCCTTTACTATTTATATTGACATTGGAAGTGCTAAATAGAAATATTAGACAACATATAGAAATTAAAGGCATGGAACTAAAAAAGGACCAATATAAATTACAGGCATTTGTAGACAATTTGGTCTTTAACTTGGAAGACCCACAAGAAAAGGGACTTAAACTAATTAGGAAAATAGAAGAATATGGTGAAGTTGCAGGACTGAAAATAAATAAAGAAAAAACAAAAATAATAGTTAAAAATGTTACACACACACAGAAAAAAGAACTAATAAGGAAAATAGGTATACAGCTAGTCAAGAAAGTTAAATATTTAGGAATTCAACTAACGGCAAGGTGTATAATGGTTAAAGAAGATAATTATAAATTGGCACAACAACTTAAAATGGATTTGGAGTCGTGGAGAAATCTACAATTATCATAGATTCTAGCAAGATTCTAAAAATAGAGGTGGTTTGGGGCTACCAGATTGGGAATTGTATTATCAGGCTTTGGTACTTACTTGGGTGAAAGAATGGATTGGCTTGAGGAACAAAAGACTATTGACCTTGGACAGACATGATCTCGAACTAGGTTGGCATGCTTTTTTATGGTATGGAAAAAAAATACATAGCTATTTCCAAAGACACTGTGTTAGGAATGCATTATTATTAGTATGGGAGAAAATAAAAGAACATTATTTGAAAATACCAGTCTGGATTTCCACAATGGAGGCACTGATTTATCCAAATGTTATTGATATAGAGAATGCTGCCAGATATAAAGATGTTTTAAATGAAAAGGGGAACTTAAAACTAAGCAGGAACTGAGTGAGCAAGGGATTGAGATAACGTGGTAGTCATATGTGCGGATACAATCTAAGATACAAGAAGGATGTTAAAGTGCATGGTTTAAATAAAGAATTAACAGAACTAGATCAGATATTAAGAGGGACAGATGAAAAATTAATAAAGAAAATATATAGCTATTTGTTAAGTATTAAGGTGGAAGAGGAACAAGTAAAAGAGACAATGAGTGTATGGGCTAAAAATTTTGGCTATTCAATCGAGTTAGATCAATGGCAGAAATTATGGGATAGAAATTATAAATTAACAATGTCTACTGCATACAAAGAAATTTTTTATAAAATGTTTTATAGATGGCGTTTTCCACCCTCAAGGTTAGCAAAGATGTTTAAGGATAAATCTGCAAAACGTTGGAAATGTCACCAGATACCTGCTTCATACTATCATATGTATGTCACATACTCTCAAAGCACCTGAGGGTAGGAGAAGCAGCAATGGGTGGAAACTAATCAAGGAGAAGCAACTTAGAACTAAGGAGAAATTTCCTGACAGTTAGAACAATTACTCAATGGAACAACTTGCCTCCAGAAGTTGTGAATGCTCCAACACTGGATGTTTTTAAGAAGATGTTGGATATCCATTTGTCTCAAGTGGTGTAGGGTTTCCTGCCTAAGCAGGGGCTTGGACTAGAAGACCTTCAAGGTCTCTTCCAACTCTGTCATTCTATGCTATTCTAATGCAGCAGGGTACCAATTACAAAATACAATTAGAATATGTGGTGGACATGTCAAAAAGCAAAAAAAGTTTGGACAAAAATACATACAAGGCTGGAAAAAATGATATAACAACATATAGATTTGAAACCAGAAACATTTTTGTTGGGCATTTTACCAGACAAGTATAACAAAGGGAATGTATATCTGATTTTGCATGTATAGACTGCTGCAAGAATAGTATTTGCACAACAATGGAAAAGTGAACAGATCCCAACAGATGAAGATGTGAATAGAAAAATATTAGAATGTACTGAAATGGATAAGCTAACACAATTAAGGAAAAGAAAGAAACTGAGTATTTTTTTGACTTGGGAATTATTTTATCAATGGCTAGCTGACAAAAACAGGAGCTAGAAACAGGGAAATATATGGAACAATCAGTGATATCAGTGATATAAGGAAGATACATTAACTTGGTTAAACAAATAGTATGATTATTACTGTTATATTAATATAATTGATATTAGTGTAATGAATATTGTTGTAAACACTGTGATTATTATTTCCTAAAATGATTTGTACCCAGACAACACACTGTTCAATTGAAATTGGAATTTTTGTACGCTATAAAATAAAATAAAAACTTATTACCAAAAAAACCCACTTTACATAGTATGTTTTTGACTGAAATACTCAATTTATCCAGAAAAGACATTGCCTAGAACATAGTATGTACAGTTTTGTTTGCTTGATTTCTATTAACTGCAATTATCTAGAATTTCTTGAAAAGGGAAGCAAAGTATGCAAAATTTAATAAAATAAAATTGGTTGGCCAATTCAGTATTAGTACTTACTGCATCAGATGTTTTGCTTGGTTTATTGCTAGGATTAGAAGAATGTGAATTTGAGCTAAGAAGAGCACTGTGGTTGTGAGTGTTTTCTTGTGGAGAATAACTGGTCCCTAGAAAACAATGGTTTATATTATTTCTCAATTACTTAAGTCCAACATACTATCTTGGTGCATATAAGCTAAGCATCATGTCTCTCTCATACACACATACACTGTACAGGACCAATTTCCCACTGAACAAATATATTTTCTAAAGAAATAAGTTTCTGAACTGAAATATAAAATTATAAATGTAATAAAATACACTATATTGCCAAAAGTATTCGCTCACCCATCCACATAATCAGAAGCAGTTGTGAGCGAATACTTTTGGCAATATAGTGTATGTTCAGCAAAACTGACCCAATGAAGTTCAATCATTTATTCTAAAAGATTACTGCAGAAATATGCCAAAGTATAACAGAGCCATGAAGTTCACATTGAAAGTTTCTATCATCCATCCATCTTAAAAATGCCTCCAACTCTCAGCCCTCAAGAGGCAGTCAAGTAAAGTACCATGTTCAATGGTATTGATAACTGTGGAGAGGTCCAATTACAATTAGGAGAGGACTCCTCCCATGGAGGTCCTGAGGAAAATAATCCACCAGTGACCAGAATAACAGAGTTGGAAGGGACCTTGAAGGTCTTCTAATCCAACCCCCTCAAGCAGGAAACCCTATACCATTTCAGACAAGTGGTTGTCCATTCTCTTCTTAAAAACCCACTACTTCTGAAGGAAAGCTGTTCCACTGATAGTTCTCAATAACAGGAAATTTATCCTTATTTCTAGGTTGGTCCTCTCCTTCATTAGGCTGATTGGTCTGTAGTTTTCTGGATCCATTCCCCCCACCATTTTTTTTTTGAAGATTGGAACCGTATCGGCTCTTTTCACATTCTCTACCAGTTCCCCAGTGCTCCAGGAGCTTTGAAAGATTTGGTTCAGTGGTTCCAACATATGTGCCAGCTCCTTCAGAACCCTGGGATGTAATCCATCTGGTCCTAGTGATTTCAACTTGTCTAGAGTGGATAGGAATTCTCTTACCATTCTGTTGCCTATTTTGACTTGTAAACTTATTGTCATTTATGGTACTGCTTGATAGTTTGGGATTTTTCCTTGATGTTTTTATTTTTTACATGTTGAAACTTTATTATTGTTGACATTTGTTGCAAGTCTAAGTTCATTCTGACCCTTAGCTTTCCTGACTGTCTTTGCAGATTTGGGCCATTTGCTGGTATTCTGTTTTAGATATGTGACCCACTTTCCATTTTTTATACTTGTCCTTTTTATCTCTCAGTTTATCAGAGTTCTTCATGCAACTATGTTGGTTTCATCTGGGGACTCTTATTTTTGTTTTCTGAGTGGTACTATGCTAGAATGGGCTTTTATAATATCATTTTTTATAATCTCATCTCATAATCCCAAACTTCTTGAGTTGTTTTCCCCTTTAATATTTCCATCCATGAAATCCTTCCTAAGCTCCAAGTTTGTTGAAATCAGCTCTCTTAAAGTCTAACACACTCATTTTACTTTATTCTATTACTTGTGCCTACATTATGTTGAATTCCAATATGACACGGTCACTCTCCACTAAATTTCCCTCAATGTCGAACACCTCCCTCCATCGTTTTATCCCTATTAGTAAGAATTAAGTCCAGTATAGCTGACCCTCTGGTTCCCTCCTCTACCTTTTGGATGACAAAGTTGTCTGCTAGGTTTATCAAGAACCTGTTTGATCTTCCACTTGGTGCAGAGTTTGTCTCCCAGTTGATGTCAGAGTAGTTAAAGTCCCCCATTACTACTGTGGTGTGTTTCCTGCACACCTTAGCTAACTGATTAGTAAAAAGTTCATCTATAAGAGCTGTGGTTAGAATACAGCATTGCAGGCTAACTCTGCCCACAGCCAGGAGTTCGATCCTGACTGGCTCAAGGTTGACTCAGCCTTCCATCCTTCTGTGGTCGGTAAAATGAGGACCCAGATTGTTGGGGGCAATATGCTGACATTGTAAACCGCTCAGGGAGTGCTATAAAGCACCATGGAGTGGTATACAAGTCTAAGTGCTATTGCTATTTTCTGTTTGCTTGGGTGCCCTGTAGTTTACACCTATGACAATGTCATTTTTTTTCTTTTATATTAACCCATATGCATTCAAGGCTTTCATCCTTGGGTGTTATGCATTTTGTAGAGGTGTAGTGATTTCTTACATATGATGCAACTCCATCTCCTGTTAGGTCTGTTTCCTTTGAATAGTTTAAATCCTTCTAGCTGTACGTTCCATTTGTGGGTTTCATCCCACCAAGTTTCAGTAATGGCAAGAATGTCATATCTGCCCTCATGTACTAGGACTTCCAAGTTTGCCCTTTTTGTTCCTAATGTTCATAGTATTAAGAGTATAGGCTTCTGAGTCCTTTTTGACTGACCCCATGTTCGGTTTCCACATCTCGTTTTGTATCTGAGTTCCTCTACTTTCTTGCCATTTGGTTGATTGCCTTGAGGTTTATGCTTGGGATTATGTCCTAAAAATTGGTCTCCCTCCCCCTCCAGTTTTAGTTTAAAGTCCTTTGGATAAGGTGAGGCAGTCGGGTTTCCAAAAATGTTCTTCCCAATCTTTTGAGTTTTAGTCCATCCCCTGCCAGAAGACCTTCATGTAGGTATTGTATACAGTGTTCTAGGAATCCAAAGTTCTCTCAACAGCTTCATCCTTTAAGCCACTGGTTTACTTAAAAAAATCTCTGTTCCTTCATTTGATGTTTACTTTTCATTGGGAGTATAGATGAAAACACCACCAGTCCTCCCATCACTTTGGCTTTCATGCCTATCTGCTTATAGTATTCTGATATTATTTTCAGGCTCTTTGCTGTATCATTCCTCATATATCTCAACCAGTATAATCAATTTATTCATAGTCAACATTTTGTGTTTTCCCCCATCTGTTACTATTTCATGGGAAGAAAGTGGTTCAAATGGATTGCCCTTGTTCTTTTATATATGTACTGAAAGTAGTGAGCGGCAACACATTTTTCTCAATCTTGCATTGTTTTAAACTGTATTAATATTACAATGCTGCTGTTTGCATATTAGATATACCGTATGCAATAATTGTCATAATTATATGCCATATCAGAATTTATCTACTCTACTCATCTATCTATCTATCTATCTATCTATCTATCTATCTATCTATCTATCTATCTATCTATCTATCTATCAATCAATCATCTGTCCTGTCATTCTGTCTACCTATGTGCCTATAGATCTATCTATCTATCTATCTATCTATCTATCTATCTATCTATCGTAGATTCTGAATTATTTCTTCAAATTACTAAGTATAGTTCAAATATAATTTTAATACTTATTTATTATAGAAAACAAGGCAGGCAAGAAAAATACCATGGTTAATGTTTTCAAAAGCAATCAAGTGATCCAAACATCTAAAATGTCACCATCCAATTTTGAATGTTAATTAGCCAATACAACTCAGGCTCATAATATTCCAGTTATGGCTATTTGCATTTACAGGCATACAGTACCTATTTTATTTATCTATCTTCATACTGATAGATAAACCTTTATGCTCCTTGTATTGTATTGTATTGTATTGTATTGTATGTATGTATGTATTGTATGTGACAATGCACTTTTGTAAAGGAATGATGGAATATGCGGATGCAGATATACTGCAATAGTTGTTTTCAAGTATTTCAGATAACCACTAACATTAAGTCTCATGCTTCCACTTTCTGCACGTTTGTTCTAGCTCAATTCACATCTTTGTATAGGTCATTTTTCTTTCACCCTAAATGATCTTTTTACTGCCAATCAGAACCGAGCAATCCATTTTATTAAGTTACATAGCAAATTAAAAGGAGATCTCACAATTTAGATGCCATGCCACTATAAATCCTGGCTAGCTTAAATCAGAATATTAGAGACATGAGCGAAATAAATCCATGAGTCCAATATGTATTTTCTTTGTTTTTACTGTATACCTGCCATGAACAAAAATTAACATGGTCCGAGATCAAAGATAATGGATTTGCAGCCCAAAAGTAGTGAGGAAGATTTATTTACTGCTACATTTAAAACTGAAGTTCTGTCTCCTGCTACTCACATAAGGGTCACATTCCCCTACCCCAGCACTAAATCTAATGCAATTGAGTACAAATTCAACAAGTACATGAGAAACAAGTTCTATGTAGGAGCAGAGCTAAAAAATCTAAACTAATAAACAAAGAACTACTTAATGTCTATGAGAATAATTCATGACAGATTATCAAAATTCCCAACTCCTTGCCCTAAAACCTTTTACTAATTCCAAGTAATTCCTGCTTTATAAGCATTTTAGGAATTAAAAAGTATGTTTACAGCATTGTAATTTTTTACCTTTAAAATCCTTTATGACTTGATCAAGTAAAACCTAAATAATTGTCTCTTCCAATATAATCTCTTATGTTAAAGCCTCAAGACAATTCACCTTTATCAAGTCAGCCCTGAATTTCTAGCAATAGCACTTAGCCTCTACAGCTCTCTCCAAGTGGTTTACAGAGTCAGCATGTTGTGCCCCCAACAATCTGGGTCCTCATTTTACTGACCTTGGAAGGATGGAAGGCTGAGTCAACCTTGAGCCAGTGATGGGCCCCGAGGCGCGCCTCTTACCTTTCCAGGTCCGTCGCATCTCTCGCTATTGTGTTCAGGGAAGCCCCTGGTTAAAAAAAAAATCCTTCTCGCGACTTCAAGAAGTTTGAACTCACTAGGTTTTTTTTTTTAACCAGCGGCTTCCCTGGACACAATGGCGAGGAATGTGACGGAGCTGGAAAGGTAAAAAAAGGCACGCCTCGCTTCTTGCCTGCCCCAGAAAATAAGCCCTCCCCTATAATAAGCCCAAGGCCATTTCGTGAGGCAAAAGAAAATAAGACCCTGTCTTATTTGTGGGGAAACACGGTATGACAATCCCCCCCCCCAAAAAAATTGGGGCTGCCACCAGGGGGTGGCTTTATCGCCACTGCCAACTCTCCTCTTCCAACTCAGTGCCACCATTTCTTTGCAGGACATCTCAACACTTGAAAGTCGCCACGGGGATAACTCGCTGCTGGCGCTGGCAAGCCAGATGAGCGAGCTTGTTTTCAGAGGGCAGCAGTGGTAGTTTGGCTCCACCCTGAACGCCAAACCAGCAGATCTGCAAGGTTTTTTTTTCTAAACTGGCATGGGTTTAAAAAAAACTTGCAGTCTCCTTGGCATTTAGAAAAAAAACTAGGAGAGCCACGGGGCTTTAAAAATAAACCTTGTAGAGTGGCGCAGCCCAAGACTCGGAAGCAACGGCAGGGGTGTCAAAATAGGAAGCACCCACCTGCCACCACCTCCCTGCCCCCCGCCCCATTCCCGGCTGCAGCTGAACTGCCAGTTTGGAAATTAGATGAACGTTGTTGTTATAGAATCAGCTACTAGTCACTAAACATGTAAAGCAAAAAGTTGAAGTTGTAACTGTATTCTACTGCAGGAGTCACCCAGAGGTGGGTTGCTACTGGTTTGCACCGGTTCAGGTGAACCAGTAGTGGCAATTGGAACTGGGTTGCCGAACCGGTAGGGATGGCAGGCTGGCCACACCCCCGAACCGGTTCCACGTCGCCCATGCCGTTGCCAGCATGTTTATTTGTTATTTTATAATGTTCTACGCATGCAAAGCGCGAGCGAACCAAACCGGCAGTAACACTAGCAACTCACCCCTGGGGTCACCAACACCCAGGGTGTGGCCCACTACTGGGCTATGGCCCATTTCAAACCAGGCTGCGATAGCGATGGGTAAGCGTGCGGAGATGAAACTCCACTCGCGTGAGTGGTAGACCCTTGTGCTCACATGTGAAGCTCGACTTGCACAATCGGAGGCTGCTCACACACAAAGCAGCAATGAAGCTGTGTGCATGTGCCTGTCAAATGCCCCCCACACTGGGCCTTGGGGACCAGTGTTCTACTGCACTGAAAAAAGTTGGGAGGTCGCTGTTTTTCTTCCTTTCTCAAAAGAGAAACAGAAAAGAGAAAATGTGGAAACCCTCCCCCTGTTCCCTTATAATCTTTCTTTGTATTTTATACTATAATAAAGTTTAATGAAAAACAAACAATATATATTTTTAAAATCAGATTAATCTGATAATTTGAAATATCCCTTGCCTAAATACATGTAGAATATACTCATCAAACCCAATTGTAAAAGAACTCCTACAATTAAATTGCAACAAACATTTATTTATATAAACAAAGGCTTCATGGAAATATTTATGAATTTGTAAAGCTTATATAACTGTGCCAACAAGGCAATGTGTAAGACTGTTTTAATCTATAGCACCAAAAACTCTGGTTTAATTTATCCAATTTATAAAAATGACTATATAGCATGTGACGATATAACCCCACTCTTAATTTGCCCTGAAATACCCACTTCACTCCTTTGCAGTATCACTGTGGTAGATTACATTATTGTCATCACTGTGGTAGTAGATCATTATTCAATTTTAATTTGAACTGTGTAAAAATGATGATACCTAGTTTGGTTAATGAAATATCTGCAAGAAAACAACCAAGCTCAGAGAGCACCAAGGACCCTTCTTTTCAACCCTGAGCTACAAATATTCTCCTTTATTAATAAAATGAAGTATATGTACAATATTCCTAATTTTCAGTGATGAGCTGCATTTTATGACATACATACTACAAGCAACTTGAGTTGAAACTTGCTTCTTTAGGTATAAAACACAGAAAATGCTTTAATGAAGCAACAAGTAAGGTTTAAAAAATAGCAATTATAAGTTCTACTGAAGAATTGAAGAAAATCTGATTTTATCAGTTATGACCCAAAAGATTACTAATAAGAACAAAAACTCTAGCCATATTACTGCATACAGCACAGTATGCTGCTATGTATCCTACACACTAAACCAGGGGTCTGCAACCTTAAAACACTCAAAAGAGGCATTTGGACCCGTTTCCCACAGAAAACACTGGGAGCCACAAAACCTGGTTGGGCGTGGCCAACTCGATGTCACTCCCATCCAGTCACATGACTGTCTTTCTGTCTATCTGTATTTCTTTGTCTCTCTCTCCCTCTCCCCCCGTTTCTGTCCCCCTCCCCCTTTCCCCGTCTGTCTTTCTCTCTTCTCTCCCCCTCTTTCTCTTCCCCCCGCCCTCTCGTGTGTGTGTATGTGTGTGTGTGCGTGTTCCCTCTTACAGTGGTGGGATTCAAAAAAATTTGCTACTGGTTCTGTGGCCGTGGCTAGGTGGGCGTGGCAGGGGAAGGATACTGCAAAATCCTGATTCCCTCCCCACTCCTGGGGGAAGAATACTGCAAAAACTCCATTCCCTCCCCACTCCTGGGAAAGGTTACTGCAAAATCCCCATTACCGCCCCACCTCACTAACCTGCTTTCCAGCTCCGTTCTCCTGTGCAAGGGCAACAAAAGAAGACCCATACAATCAGCGAGGCCAGCCTGAGGTAGTATTTGCCGGTTCTCCAAACTACTCAAAATTTCTGCTACAGAACCAGCTGAATACTACTTCTGCTCTTGAACCATTTCCACAAACAGGCGAGGTTTGGGGTTTTGTTTTGTTGCTGTTGTTGTTCTTTCTTCCTCTTTGGGTGCTTTTTACCATATAATTTAAATCAAGAGTCATTTCAAGTTCCCAGATAAATGAAGCTCTTCCCCCTGCTGTGGCTGTCGGCTGAACCCACCACTGGCTGGCCCTGCCCCTCGCCCTCCCCTCCCAGTCATTCCTTGCCTGGGCTGAGAAGGTAAGGGTAATGGTGGGGGATGGAGACTCGTGCCATATTCCAGAGCAGGGGCAAAGCACCCCCGTACTTGCCTCATCTCATGGGTGCTTCTTCTGGACCTTGTTGGTGCTGTGTGCACCTCGGTCACTCGGGGAGACGTGCGACTTGCTCTCCGCCTTGCACAGCAGTTAAATTTAGCACACTTCACAATGTGGGAGACAGCATCCACTCCTCCTCCTGGAGCCCATTATGACGTGGAGCATAGACTGCAGCCGGGCCAGTGTCTTGGGGCGGAGAGCAAGTCGTGCATCTCCCCTAGTAACCAAGGTGCGTGCAGCAACAACAAGGGCCGGAAGAAGCACCCACGAGATAAGGCAAGTACAAGGGCGCTTCGCTCCTGGCTCTGGAATATGGAGTGAGTCTCCATCCCCCACCATCACCCTTACCTTCTTCTCAGGCCAGGCGAGAAGTGACTGGGAGGGGAGGGTGAGGGGCAGGGCCAGCCAGTGGTGGGTTCAGCTGACAGAGAGCCACAGCAGGGGGATGAAAGAGCCGCGGGTTGCCAATACCTGCACTAAACCAAGCCTAATGATTAAAAGGGCTCTGTGAACTTCTCATTTACTTCCAAACAGTTAAAGCAGCAGGCCTGAACCAAAAAGGATAAGAGCCCATACTATCCTATGTTATGGATGTACCATGTTTCTCTCAGGCAGCATACCTGCACACATAAAGCAATCAGCAGCTCACTAGCCTTTCATAGTAGAAAATATCAAAAGATCAGGCACTTTTAAGTGTCTCCAAAATAATGGTGAGCATGTTTTCTCAATTCTCTTCCACTTGTATAAAGCTTTTCAGATAAGCAGTGCTATTTTTAAGTATTGACTAGTATTAGCTGTAATGTGCTAATATACCTTGCTGCTGAATTAAGCTAAATGTCAAAGGAATTAAAGTAGTAACTCAAGAACATTAAACATACATAAAATATGATGGAGATTTCAAAGAAAACACCTCAGCTTGCCAGACAATACATTTCTTATACGTAAAAAGACAATTATCTACTTTGGATAAAGATGAAAATAAAAGTACCATTAAAAAAACTATTTAAAACCTATTTCTTTTTTATGCGTTTTACAGAGTGCTCTGCCAACCTGAAATAATGGTGAGGCAAATTGATTCAACTATTATTTTAATATTTAAATAAAGGTTTGAAGGAAACTCACCACCATCCCTTTCTCTAACTTTGTGGCCATGAATGGTTTTAGCTTTATTGTGTCCAGTACCGTCACTGTATTTGTTTTCAGGACTATCGGATCGCCGCAACATTTTATTTGGTGGTGAAGGGTCTGTGGCGTCTCGCATCTTGTCATGCCGGTGATCACCACCACTGGGGTGACTCTTTGATGTGTACTTAAGAGCCTATAAGAAATTTAAAAAAAAAGAATTTTAAATGAGGCATTATACCTAGAATTTACAATAGATGCTTTTATTATCAAGATTTTTAAGTTAGTATCTGACATTTAAAGTATATACGTAGGCATATTCTAGATTAGTATTATTTTTGGACATAATCTCTATGCTATATCACCAACAGTTTTTCAAACAACTCAATTCAAAACAATTCAAAACTAGTTTGCGTTGCAGCTGTCAAAGCAATCTGCAGATCTACGTAAGAAGTTATTCAGAATGTGACCCAATACAGATTCTGGATGTTTGATTTTTATTTTCTATTAATGAAGTCTACCACTGATCAGGGAATCTATTCAAAATAATGCATTTAAAATTCTGACTCTTAATTGAGAGAGATAGTAGTCTGTACACCAATATCTTTAATATATTGTAGAATGTTCATACTTCTAGCTATTTAAGACAGCAAACTTTTCAAACATGAATGTAATATATTCATGATCTTCTCCTTAAAACACAAACCAGTTTAAGAAATAACATTTCATTTTATCATTCCTAGATGATACTGTGGTAAGAGGCATTCCATGATGATACTTTGTCTCTATAAAAAGCTTATTTTTATATTTTATCCAAGTATTTAATTTTAAGTATTTCCATTTAATTTTAATCAATAAGATCTTATTTGTGGAGAACAATTATATATAATTATAATAAATATAATTCTGCAATTGTATTTTGCAGAAACAGAGGTTCTTCAAGACTACGGATTCAAAAAATTCTCAAAGACTATGCGTAGATATATAGCAACTGCTGCACCTGTACTTTCATAGCAAAACCACTTTGTTCTGTACTGAATAAACAGAGAGCAGCCAGCTATGGTTAGCAGCTCTTCATCTGAATTATTTTGCAATATACACCTTTTGCCTAGTGGATATTTACACAAGGCAGGCTGTCATCCAGTACAGCCTCCAAATGCACTGGCCAATTTTTTTCAAAGGTTTTTCTTCCTGAAAGACTTTTGGTGATTATGATGGACCCCTTCAAACTGAACACAAATGTAATTTCAGGATAACTTTATCATGTAGGAATATTGAGACATATGGAATTAACTTTTAATGACTATGTATTTAATGTTTCCAAAATGCTGCATGAGTTCAACAGAGCTAAAGTGTGTTGCTACCAATTTTCTTTGTACTCAGTGTCTGATGCATCTTGCCACAGTGTCCAATAATAGTCAGCCAGCATGAATGGATTCCAGTTGCCCTGATACTGTTTTTCTATTGTGAAAATGTCCTGGTGAAACTTTTCACCATGTTCATCACTGACTGCACCTAGTTTTTCGGGAAAGAAGTCCAAGTGTGAATGCAGAAAATGAATCTTCAGTGACATGTTGCACTTCATGGTCTTGTATGCCATAAGAAGGTTCTCAACCAACTGAATGTAGTTTGGTGCTCTGTAACTGTCAAGAAAATTCTCAATTACATCCTTAAATGTTTCCAGGGGATTTTCTCTGGCCCCACTAATGGATGTTGAAACTGTTTGTCATTGATGATGTATCTGATCTGTGGACCAACAAAAATGCCTTCCTTAATCTTGGCATGTTATTCTGGGAAACATGTGTCTCAAATTTGCTCAAAGCATTGGGCCCTATACAAGAAGATACAGTTCAGTGGTGAGAAGAGTAAGATTCTGCACTTAGGCAGGAAAAAACAAATGAACAGGTATAGAACAGGCAGTACCTGGCTCAACAGTAGCAACTGTGAAAGGGATCTAGGTGTTCTGATGGACCACTGTTTAAATATGAGTCAGCAGTGTGCTGCAGCTGGTAAAAGAGCCTATGCAGTCCGAGGCTGCATCAACCGAGGGATAGCACCAGGTTTCAGGAAGTGATACTACTGTTCTATATTGCACTAGCAATATATTCTATATTGCACTTTTCATTGCATCCAGTTCTGGTCATCACAACACAAAAAATATGCTGAGGCCCTATGAGGAGTGCAGAGAAGAGCAACAAAGGGTTCTGTAGGCTAAACCATAACATGAACAGCTAAGGGAACTAGATACGTTTATCCTAACGAAGAGAAACCTTAGACATGACAGCAGTCTTCCAATACTTAAAAGTGCTGTCACAGGGAAGAGGCGGTTAATTTATTCTCCACAGCACCTGAGGGCAGGACAACAAACAATGGCTCATCAGAGGGAAATCCAACTTGGAACTAAGGAGGAATTTCTTGACAGCTGTTTCAATAGAACAGCTTGCCTGCAGAAGTTGTGGGTGCTCCATCACTGGAGGTTTTCAAGAAGAGACTGGACAATCATTTGTCCAGGATGGTATGAGGACTCCTGCTTTAGGCAGGGGGTTGGACTAGAGAACTTCCAAAATACCTTCCAGCCATATGATTCTATGCAATAATGAAAATTTCCACCTTCCTTGTTCATTGCTTTCACAAAATTTTTCATCAGTTCTTATGTGGAGGCAACAATATTTTTGTTGGGTCAATAAGTGGTTCATTGTGTCACATTTTTCAGTCCCTGGAACAAAATTCTTTCAGTGGCCATTTTAAAAAAATATAACGTGACTCTCTTGCACAGCTGTGCCATTTGCACATGTAACAACAGTACTTGGTATATCTGATCTGCATTCCAAGCAGCAGAACCACTACCAGTACTTTCAGATCTTCACAGTTATTCCAGTTGTACTTGGTGTACTGGATGTGCTTCAACAACAGTTCCATGTTTCCATAGGTTTCTTTCATGTGTACAGCAAGGCTAACAGGTACTGAAGAGTGTACATTGCCAAAACAGAATATTTCTATAAAATGGTACATGAAATTGTCAACCTTATGTTATGAACTTTTTCTCTGGTAACACTATAATGCTAACTAGAGCATACAAACTTTTGCTAGACCAATCCTTGAATATTGCTCACCTGCCTGGAATCCACACTGTATATCGGACATTAATACAATAGAGAGGGTCCAGGGGTATTTCACAAGAAGAGTACTTACTTCTGCCAATTACATCCCTGCGACCAATAAGATCACATAGATTAGGCCTCCTCCGTATACCATCGGCCAGCCAGTGTCGGCTGGCAACTACAAGGAGGAGGGCCTTCTCAGTAGTAGCCCCGACCCTTTGGAACGAGCTCCCCGTAGAGATTCGCACCCTCGCCACCGTCCAGGCCTTCCGCACAGCCTTGAAGAACTGTCTCGCCCGTCAGGCCTGGGGACAAGGATAGTTCCCCTCCCGAATGATGAATGTATGTTGTTTATTATTTTATTATATGTCTTATCTTAATGTCTGTATTTCCCCTTCCCCGATTTTATGTGAGCCGCCCTGAGTCCCCTCAGGGAAAAGGGCGGCCTACAAATATTAATAAAATCTCAAATCTCAAATCTCAAACATCTCTGCTTGCAATAAAATACCTTATGCCACCAGTCTTGAAATTTTAGGCCTGGACAACCTCGAACTATGCCGCCTACATTCCAACCTAAGCATAGTACACAAAATTATCTGCTATAACATCCTACCTGTAAATGACTACTTCAACTGCAATAATACATGGGCAAACAACAGATACAAACTCAAAGTAAACCGCTCCAAACTCGATTGCACAAACTGCGACTTCAGCAATAGAGTGGTCAATGCCTGGAATACTCTATCTGATTCTGTTGTTAGTTCCTCAAACCCCCACATCTTTGACCGTAAACTCACCACTGTGGACCTCACACATTTCCTAAGAGATCCGTGCCTACCGGTACCTGTCCTACTGTCCCTATTGATATGTACTCATTTTGTGTTCATGGCCATGTTATACTTATTTATATCCATCTATTTGTACCAATCTCATGCGATAATGTCCATGTCTATACTAATACCTGTTACCTTGTACAAGTTGACAAAATAAAATAAAGAAAAAAATAAAATAGGTTAAATTACAGGCTACTTTTGTGATTAGCAGACAAAAATCTGTAAATTACACCCAAAAGCGTTCAGGAAGTAAAATCTTTGTTGTCCAGTGATATTAAGCTTTGCTGGATACCTGAAAGTACCTTAAGGGTCAAGTAATTATTTTTATCCCATTCTCTGGTAGTGGGGTGGAGTAAAATATCTGAAGAAAAGCCAACTACAAACTAAAGTTGTAGCACTCTCCAAGGAGTCTCCAACATCCGAGTACCTGCACCACTCCTAATTTACAAGGTCTTTATGAATAGGATTGAAGAACTAGAATTCCTCTACAGGTCAGGGGCCCAGGGTCCTTTATTGTTTTAGGGAAGAGTTCCTATAAACAACTGCCTTACCGATATCCCACCGCTTTCTTCCGGAGAAAAAGAAACAATGCCGTCCTCCCGTCCACCATAGGACCTAGGCCTCGTTTCCCTCCCACGCAATGCCCCTACCTCTGTCTCCTTCAGGCGCCCCGCGCTCGGCGAAGGAAACCAACCGCAACCGCCCCTCTTCCTCCTCTCCCAGGCGACCGCGCGCGGGACTAAGGGGCGGCTCGTGTGCGGCCTGCAGCGTCGGCGGAAGCCTGCGCTCGATTACTTTAGCTTGCCCTCCCACACTCTAGTTGTTGCCGCCGCCGGGCCGCTCATTGTGGGGACTGCGGCAGGCAAAGAAGTCAGTACCTGGTAGGGCTGCGAGTTCCCCTTGCGGTCGTGACAGCTGCAAGATAGAAATACGGATAGCGTTAGCGAGCGACCGTTACTGGCGACTGGCATCGAGGGACCGCGGGGTTGGGGGGGAGGGCGGGACGCGAAAGGGGTATTTACCCANCAGTCGGGGAGGGCGGGACGCGAAAGGGGTATTTACCCATCATTGAGTCTTTGCTGTTTCCTCGCATACATTACCATCAATGCCCGGCCTGTGTGAGAGAGACTGAGGGGACCAGGAGGGCGCGGCTGGGCCACGGACGCCGCCGAGGGAGGAGGGGGGAGTCGCACTCTGACCAGGGATGGGGAAGGGAGGGAGGTGGCTCAGGCAGCTCAGCTGTGAGAGGAAGCGACGCTCAAGGGCCCATCTCCTCTCCACACTCGCAAGGACAGGCAGCGCTGCACAACAAGCACACTGAGGAGAGACGACGACGACTTCCCCGCCGCTCCCGCGGTCCGCCTTCGCTCGGCCGCCGCTGCCGCCTCCCACTCCCGCCAGCCACTGCTTCCAACACTACCGCCGTCTGATTACATCCGGGAAACTGGGACGCCACCGCCTTCGCTTAACGTCGGCTCTGGTCGGCTCCTTCCGACCAAACTCCTCCCCTATTTTTTTTTTAAATTCTTCCTTTTTCTTAGGCGTAAGCCCCGCCTACCTCCCCTCCAGATTCTGAGAGCCTTTTTGGAGGTGCATCGGCCGTTTCCGTTCAATGCCGGAAATCCCTTGCCGTGAAAGGTAAAGCCTACGCGCTCATGCTTTCTGCGTCCGATTCTGATTTGCCTTCGGGAAAACATCGGAGATTTCCGTTGAGCTGACAGCGCTCGCTTTTATGCGACGTTGGCATTCCCAGACGCTGGGTGTCCCCCGCCCTGCCGTTTGTATCCGTTGTTTCCTCGTTTGTTTCCGTATGTGAAATGAGGAACGTGCTCCGATAGGCACTTTTCCTGGCACTTCTAAAACAAACTTCCGAGAATGCACCACAACCCGCGAGTAATCCCGGGTCACTGATTGGCTGAGGCTTTTTCTCTCGTTTGCTCCCTGACTTTAAACAGGTTGCCTGCTCTCGCGCGCAAGGGTGGAATTTACCGGCGGCAGAGACAATTGCAGCCTGGCTGAAGATGGCAAAGCAGTGACGCCTTTGGTATAAATCTGGCATTATTTATTTTCCCGTTCTAACCCAGGGCTTTTCTCTGTGGTCCGTCCTTTTGTAGCCTCTTGGAAAACCGCCTGGGACGAGATTAAAACGGACTCCGAAACGATGCTCATGACACCTCAGTCCTGTTTGAAAATTAGGTCTTTTAAGTAAGATTTACTTGTGGGAGGGCAGGCACAATTTAGCGCGCTTTTGATATATTGGACTGCAACTGTCACCATCCTGAGCCACCTTGATGTCTCTGCAAGGCGGGCGTTGTAATCCAACCAATCTGGAAGGCGCTTTTGAAGCACGAATAATTTCAAGCACCGGAGCTCCTGAATTCCAATGAGACTTCTAGCCAAACGCCCATAAGGAGGCGCTGTACGCCAGCCGTCCCGCGCACAAGACCGGGAGGGGGCAATGAACTGTGCACCTCGGTCCGAGAATTGCTGGGTCCCGCTTGTAGTTTGGTGCTGCTGCCTAAAACTCGTGTGAAGTCTCCCCTCCCCCGAGGTGCCCAGTGGCCATTTCGCGGACGCCTGGGAAGGATCCGTTGCAGCGCCGTCCTCCAAGGCTGGAAACCAATTTATTCTGGAAGGTCGGCGAGGTATTCTGAGGAAGAGCACCGAGGCGAAGGAAGAGGCTCGGCCTTGCAGGCATTTGCAGATGACGGCAAGAGCGCGACATTGTCTTCCTTTTGCTGTTTTGGCAAACCTTGCCTTCTCTTTGGCAGAGGGGAAAATCGGAGGTAAGAGGGAAAGGGCGAAGGGGCAAAATTGTGGGCCCTTCCTCACTTTTGTCGGTGGCCAGAAAAGAGGAGACATGACATTTTCTCAGTCTTGAACTTTCCAAATTGACTACACCACACAAAGCGAAACCATTTTTTTCTGTTTGCTTCTCCTTGCCTCAGAAATAGAGAAATAACGAAAATTAAAAGTGTCTCGTCTGTGGAGGATATGTGCATAACACTTCAGTACCTGAAGCTGTGGACAATATGATTCTAGCTCAGGTGGGTTCTGTAGCTCTGTAGTTTTGTGGAACTAATGCTCTCAGCAACTTCAACCAGCATAGACAATGGTGTGGGATAGTGGGGATTGTAGTTCAATAGTATCTGAAGGGCACAAGTTTTCTGCCCATCTACTTAACAACTGCCTCAGATGGCAGAGAGCAACATTAAGCTACTAAAGAGCAGTTTTGCATCTGTCCCTTGGTCAGGCTTGGTTTTTAATGCTGCCTTTTTGTGCTCGGCTGCCCTGGGCAGTGTTACCACTAAATACACCTGCTATAACAGAATAACAGAGTTGAAAGGGACCTTGGAGGTCTTCTAGTCCAACCCCACGCTTAGGCAGGAAACCCTATACCATTTCAAACAAATGGTTGTCCAATCTTCTTAAAACTTCCAGTGTTGGAGCATTTACAACTTCTGGAGGCAAGTTGTCCCACTGATTAATTGTTCTAACTGTCATGAAATTTCTCCTTAGTTTTAGGTTGCTTCTCTCCTTGATTAATTTCCATCCATTGCTTCTAGTCCTGCCTTCAGGTGTTTTGGATAATAGGTTGAGTGCATCTTTTTTTGTGGCAGCCCCTTAAATATTGGAACACTGCTATCATGTCAGCCCTAGTCCTTCTTGTCATTAAACTAGACATGCCCAATTCCTGCAACCATTCTTCATATGTTTTAGCCTCCAGTCCCGTAATCTTCTTTGTTGCTCTTCTCTACACTTTTTCTAGACTCTCAAAATATTTTTTATGTTGTGGCAACCAAAACTGGATGCAATATTCCAAGTGTGGTCTTACCAAGGCATTATTAAGTGGTTCACATTATCTTGTTTCTATCCCTCTGTTAATGCAGCCTGGGACTGTGTTGTCTTTTTGGCGGCTACACTACACTGCTGGCTCATAATTAACTGATTGTCCACTAGGACTCCAAGATCCCTGTCGCAGTTACTACTATTGAGCCAAGTACCCCCTATTCTATATGCATTTAGGTTTTTATGGCTAAATATAGAAACCTTTCTCACCATAGAACTTCATTTTTTTAGATAGGGCCCAGTGTTCAAGTCTGTTGGGATCCTTGTGGATCTTGAGTCCATCTTCTAGGGTTTGGGCTATTCCAGCTTAGTGTCATCTGCAAATTTGATGAATTCCCCTTCTATCCCCTCATCTAAATCATTTATGAATATGTTGAAGAGTATTGGAGCATTCTAGAGTCTCAACATCTTTNCATCTTCATATCCGGTCACATGGGCGGCAAGCCACTCCCACAAAGGAGGCCACACCCACAGAGTAGGTTCGAACAATTTTTGAAACCCATCACTGTATCACATATAGTATGTTTGCAAAGTCCAACAGAATTTCTATTTGGGTTTAATAGTTAAAAGAAAGCAGCCTTTTCAATTCCTACCTAACTCTTTTAACTCAATAAACAGCTCACACTTAGGTAAGCAAGTTCACACAATTCTTAGGTATCCCTAATCTTTGTACAGGCCTAAGATATATATATATCCTCTGCAAAAGGAAGTGGTTCAGGTAGGTCATGATGAATTTAAATAGGGCAATATTTGATTTAGTGTGAATTATAAATTGATATCAGGTTGCACTTAATGTGATACATAGCTTGTGTGAGAGTAATTCAGGCTAGGGCATGCACAGTTGTAGTTGGGGCTTTTGATACGGATAATATTTGTGTGCACAAAATAGGAGAAAAGGAAGATTCCATCAGAAGAAAACAGTAAGTTTAAGAAAAAAGGTGAGGCTTTTTATTGCATTAAAGCAAAGGTTTAATTTAATTGAACAACATGAATATGGTCATAGCAACACTAAAAAGGGATGAGATATTGAAAAGCCTGAATTTACAGTAGATTATTTTTTGTTTTTATATTAATTTCTATACCTACTCTGTGACTTTGTTCACTATTTAAAATATATGCAATTTTAATATATAAGTAATATTCTCTACAACTTTTACTGTAGTATCTCATTAAAAATTACTTAAAATTTTTCATTGCCAAGCTAGAACCAATAATCTTTTCCATAGTGCACATTCAAATAATGCAACAATTTCATGGGATTCATTAAGCACATTAATCAAGACCTACCTGAATATCTCTCCCATCCCTACCCCATCCTATCAATAGATCCTTCTCCAGTCAAACCCAACCCAGCCATTGGCACAGCAAATTGGCACGTGATTTCTTTCACCTCATTTGAAGCAAACAAAACATTTCAGCTAACATGGTCTTGAAATAGTAACATATTTTAAAATGAGATGCCAGCAAAACAGATTGAGTTAATAACACTTAGAAATCTCTTAGACAGCAGTCTTTACAGTTAATCTTTCCCACTGGTGCACATCTTTGAATTAAAGCAATTTCTCTTAAAAAGTAAGTTAAGATTCATGCAATTAATATCAAATGACATCCCTAGAAGACAAGCCCATAACACAACTATACACTTCCTGTGAAAATCTACCATGAAGTAAAGATTGGTTGTCAAGAAAACTGAAGCTGTATGTAGAGATTTTAATGTATGTAATAATACCCTGCAATGTTTTCACTTAAGGAATTAATTGGTGGTGATTTTAATCCACGTCTTTCTTGCAGAGATGTAACACTACTGCAGCAAATAGCACAGTTTTGACAGAATGGGGACTACTATTTTATGTCTTGCTGAGGATATCACCACAAAAATCTCTGTGCCTCCAATGCAATCAATTCTATATTTGCAGATTTTATACCAAGACAACTTAAGAACCTCTTGTTGTTCTGAGAGGTCTTTGGTTAAAGAAAAGTTGGATCTAGAGTCAGTTTGGATGAATCTCATGACTGGTGTTGAGAATTGATGGTAACTAGTATTAACTGGATTCTAAAGAAAATCATTGCTGAGAAAGTCATTGGTCAGTTAAGACTAGCATCTTTCCCATCTATCATTGGGTGTATATTTGGACTACAGTTTCCTTATGGAATACAATTATTTTTTTTCATCCCTTTTATATAATGGAAGGGATTCAACTTATTTTCAGCAACATTTTAATTGCATTTCCTGCAAGGCACATATGAAATAAGTTGGAGGGAAATAATGTTATCTCTTATTTACTTGATAAACTTACACTTTGGGATAATCTCAATTTGAAAGTGTTAGATAACCTTTGTTTGAGGCTTGGGCAAATACAAGTATTAATGCTTTGGATCAAGATCTTGCTAGTCCAGTGTTCACATTATTTTAGTTACTGTAAAAGGAATCTGTATTGCTCAAAATAATAAATGGCAGTGGTACACTCAATTTAAATAACTCTGATTTCATTATTTGGTCCAGATAAATAAAACTCATGGAGTATTGTTGATATAATAATCTGTTTTAATGATTCTGCATCTACATTACAATTAATAAACAGCTAAAGAGAATTGGTAAAGTAGATACTATTTGCAGAAATTCTGGAATGAATTATTGCAATACATTGTATAAGTAATCATTTTAATGATTAAGAGTTCTAATGAATACAGAGAACAATCAGTTAAAATTTTGCTCTTGCCAAAGTTCAAACAAAATGTGAAATGTATTTCTTAAAATTATTTATTCTTCAATACTGGATAAACATTGTGACCACCTGATTACAACCTTAAAAAAAAAAGAAACCAATTATTTCCTTGGGTATAAGATGTAATTTTGTATCAGTGTACCAGAGAGACTGAACAGTATTGATGATGAAGACTGTTAATTGTGTGTTTAAATATTGGATTTGTTTCTGTGTGCAATTCTGTTTATTATTCTGGCTCTGTGTTAACAATTAACAATTAAGATAGAATAACCAATCTATATGGCTTGGCGCTGGCTTTTTCTCAACTTACACTTAGTTCCAGGGTGATCATGAACATGCCTGCCATAGCAGCCTCTTTATTCTGGCATGTTTTCATGATCCTGCTTATATCTTGTTCCC